CCCCCCCCCCCCGGTCGAACAGCACCACCCCGGGTTCCCTCTTCCGGGGTATGCTTCCATGCGAATGGCGAATGTTTGTGCAACCGGTACCGACCCCCCACATCCCCCCGACCTTTTCCAACGGGCGCGAGCGGAGAGGCGCCGCCGGGCGGCCTCGCGGCGAAGGGCCGTTGACCGCGAGCCCGGCCGAGTGTGGCTCTATGTGTGCGCGCGCGCGCACCAGGGAGCCAGGAGGGGGAGGAAAGCCCAAGCGCTAGGGTCTAGACTGGACCGGCGTGCCTGCCGCCCTGGGGCCGGCCGGGCGGGGGGTGACAAGGCGGCGGAGATACGCTCTGGCCGTCATTGACTGCGCCAGCATGAGCCCCTCATCTCGATGCCCGCCGTGTGGTGGAGCCCCGGCGCGGGCACTTACATCTCTCGATGGGGGGGAGGGGGGGGGGGGGGGCAGCAGAGCGTCTGCCAGCCGAGGGGAGATAACGGCCGGGCCCGCCAGCGGCGTCGAGTCCGGGGCCGGGGGGCCGGGGGCCGGGGGAGGCAGGGCCCGGAATGCTGACAGTCGGGAATGCCGTTGTCCCAGTCATGTGCGCCGTGTTCGCCCGGGGCGCCGAGTGTCACATTGTCGCGGCCTCTGGGCTATTCGGATGGCCGCCGTGCTGATGCGGTAGGAGAGACAGAATGTGCGGTCTCCAAAGACAGCCCCTGCCCGGGCCCCCCACTCTGCCGGCGACGCCCGCTGGACTGGGGGTGTGGCCTCGCAGGAAAACCGGGAGGGGCCCCCTCTCCTGCGACCCGGTGTCTGCTGCACATGCGCCCAAATCTCCTACACACGAGCGGAGTGCCCTCCGGCATGCGGCCATCCATGCCGCGCATGTGTGTGTGCGTGTGTGTGCAATGTGGAAAGAGGAGGGGCAGTCCACTACGCATATGTATGCTGACGTGTGTATTTCGTGTGCGTTCGCCATGTATCGGCCTCGGGGCCGGATACCTCTCGACTGTGGGAGGCCACATACGCCGGGGCACGCACACACAAAGGTGCACAGGAGGAGGAGAAGGAGGAGGAGGAGGAGAGCAGAGAGCAAGGAGGAGGGGGGGGGGCATATGTGTGTCAGGGGCTGTACAAGGAGACGAGGAGCGGGGAGGGGAGGCACTCTATATGTGTGCTCCCGCTGCTCCCCAAGTCCCTGGTGCCGCGTGTGTATGCGTCCGTACGGTGATGAAGGGACATGTAGAAGACACGTATGAGCGCGAGGCCGAGAGAGGCCGAGAGAGGGAGGGAAGAACAGGAGGACACATAGGCAGCAGCAGAGGGTGAGAGGAGGCAAAGGAGCAGACACAGGCCCTCGAGTTCCTCCTTGCCACTGCTCTTTGGGCGTCGCGTCTTTTTCTGCGCTTCATGCGTCGGTGTCGGCGGCATCGTCACCGTCATCAATGTTGTCACCATCACCACCACGATCACCAACAGCAGCAACAGCAGCAACAGCAGCAACAGCAGCAACAGCAGCAACAGCAGCAACA